TTTTGGTAGTCTGAATCTGGTTCTCCTGCCCCTGAAAACAATGTACAACCTTAGCAGGCACTTCTTACCATCTGAAATGGTGAAACTAGCAATTTTATATATATAGTAGCTATTCCTCCTGACATTCAACCCTCTAAAATGAATAGCAAGGCTATACCAACCTGGCACTCAGCCTCTGCCTTTTTCACCAGCCTGGCAAAAGCTTAGCCAGCATAGGTGAGGTCTCATCAGTCTAGACAGGAGAAGGAGGAGAAGACTGAGAGGGGATTTCATTAATGCATATAAATAATAATATAATAAATATTACAAAGATGGTCAACTGGATGGTGCCAGACTCTTTTCAGTGGTGCCCAGTGACAGGATGAGAAGCCATGTCTGCAAATGCACAAGATGCTCTCCAGAGGTACTTTCCAACCTTAACAGTTCTGTGATTCATCTTCTCTGCTCCTGGCTGATCATTGCCATGCCCAGATCACCCCAAGGCTGGACCAGGGATCCCCTTCCTTGACCTGGCATCTGCCTTCTGCTATGGCCTGGGATCCTTTGATTTTCCCTGACTTATGGCTTCAGTTAAGGAAGTGTTTCCTCCAACTCCTTTACTTAAAATAGAACTGAAATTGTTTCTAGTTCTGCTTCTTTAAGTGTTTTGCACTATTACAGGGACATATCCAGAACTATCTTGGTGATGTAAGCACTTGCTCTAGGGAGACAGCTGAAGTTAAATCTTTTGTGTTATTCACATTATAGATTTTGTTGTTTTGATGAGTTTAATATTCTCATCTGCTGTTGAAAAAGCTGTAAGCAATTAAAAACTGATTCTACTAAAACACCTTATATGCATATTAATGTTTTTTATTTCAAAACCAGGTAAAAAGGACTTTTTGATAATGTCCAGTTTTTATGCTTTTTGGTGTAAAGTGGGCTTTGGTAGCAGTGACAATCTTTATTAATGACACTGCCAGTCACTCGTTATGGTCTGGAATGATTAGTTGGCTCTAAAATGAACTAGAGAATACAAATATCTCATTTTTTCCTAAAGGTTAATCTAAGACTTTGATCTGAGAAAAATCCATTTACAAGTAAGAGTCAGACTAGCTTTATCCACTGCATCAGAAGTGATCCCAGTGGTGATCATTAAGGATATTGTAAAAAGCAGTAGAACTGGAAAAGATTTGGAAGAATTCTTGCAGAAAAAGAGGCAGACTTCATTCTGAGAGGTGTTAATGGAAGCTTTAGGTTATGGATGCGAGAGGTGGGTATTCCTGTTGAGTACTGTGTCCAGCTTTGGTCATGGCACCTCCAGAAAAAAGCAGGTCTCTGAAGAGAGAAGCCACAGGATTGATATAGAATTTGCTAAATATTTGCTGAACTGTGTGGAAAGCATGATGTATCTATAGCAATTTATGCTAAATGAAGGGAAATACAAAAGGGAACAAAATACAATTCTTTCTGTATGTCACAAATGGTTATGAAGAGGATAATGATCAGCTATTCCTTATGTCCCCTGCAGGGAGGACAAGGAATTTAATGGGTTTTCTTTAAATGGGTCAGTGATATTTGCATAAACCCAGAAGTCTGAAGCATAACCCAAACACTATTTGCAATAGATTTACCTGCTTTTTCAGCTTGTGTTGTGTTATAGTCTTACTGTTTAATCTTCCTTACTTCTGTAGAAAACAGTTTTATTGATAATTTCATCAAATATTTGTGCTGTTATTCATGATATGAGTATTCTCACCCAAGACATCTTGGAAAATTTTCTTACACTCACCCAGATAACTGACAACTGTGGTGGCATTTTGGGATGGCACTCATGGAACTACTAAATCTGGCCACTACTGCTGCATGGTGGATGGTGGTTTGTAACACATGAACCAGAGCTTTATGGCACCATCATTCTTACTGCTTGTATGCAGCTGAGAGGTGCATGCTCAACATCCTATTGTGCAGAGCATGGGTGTTCAAGATGTACAGAAGAACTGGTCCTAAAAGTTGAGCAATGAGAGATTTGATTCAAAAAAGTTTGTAATAAAGTAATAGATTTTTGTGGACATCTATGGGACAAGGATTATAAGCACTTATACAAAAAGTAAGATTTTATGTACGTTTGTATTTTGTTAGAAGATAAATCATACATAACATTTCACAGACTAACATTCTGCATCATAATTCCATGCATTGTGTCCATCTTAACTAAAATGTAAAAGAAAAAGAACACTTTGTTCACAAAACTAATATGGGAAAGTTGAATTACAACTGATATGCTAGATGATTTTTTTTTTGGAGATGAATAATTCCATGGGCAGATGTGAAACATAGGCTGCACAAATAATACTGAATGTTAAAGAACTCAGTTAGAAAGGCTAATATTTGTACAAAAAAAACCACTGAAAAAATTGCACAAGGCATAAAGCCCCTGGAACAAAAGCACTCCATTTGTGTCAATGAAAATCTTGTCATTCACTTCAGTGAAGGCAGGTTTTATCTACCATTTCACCTCACATTATCTTATAATATGAAAATAAGATTCTGCTACTAATATAACTAGAGAGTTAGAGTACAAAATAATCTCCTCTGTAAAATGGCAGGCTTTTGTTCAAAATGTCTACAATCATTGGTTTTATCTGCTTTATCATCTCTTTTCCTCTCTGATGAATGCAAACTGTTTGGGTAATTTGCTTTGACCAGATCTGTGTCTGGGAGATCTTAAGTGGAAAAACTATTTGCATACTTAAGAATCCTGAGAACAGAGAGTGGCATTATAGTTTGGGATTTGGTTGGGGGTTTTTATCCCCTGTGCTGGGCCAAGAGAGACACTTTACATTTATATGTAGCAATTACCATTCCTAATTTTTGTAATGAAACTAGCTTGTGAAAAATGTAACATAAAATGGAGGCTGCCAGGCTTTGCTTCCTGCTGTTCGCTTTCTTAATTTTTAACATACCAGCCCATTAAAGTTTTATATGTGTTTCTCTCTTCTCTTCTCTTCTCTGACTGTTTTTACAAAGTATTGTCTCTCAAGAGATGTGGTCTGCAAAGAAAAGGTAGTTTACTGGAACTCTTATGTGGATATACTGAGGGATTGCTTCTATAATTTTTAAAAAATTATTTACAGAAATGAAATGTTTCACACACATACACACACACTCACACACACACACACGCAATTGTAATAGCACAGAAATTGCAGCTACTATCTTGTGCTATTTTTTTGGTTGAAAATGTCAGCACCACTAAAGATGATTTTGGAAGAATTACTTCCAAAAAATACATCTACATAAAAATACATATTGTAACAGTAAGAACTGGTTGTACATTTGTGTGTTTCTGACAAAATGCAGAAATCTGATTGCAGGCAGACCTTGATCCAATGGCAAGAGTGATGTGATGAATAAAGCTCACCACTTTGGCTGTGTCAGTACAGAGAAGTCCATGGAAAACATCTACTCTGTCCTTGCTTATGGAAAATTTTATTTTTCAAAAATCCAAACAAGAATGTATTAGAAATTTTTTTTCCTTTGTGTTGAATAATCCAAGTGTAATTTTGAGGCTAAAAGAGCAGCAGTGCTAATTGGAAGCATTCTCTCTGCAAAAACTGCAAAGCAGAGAATAATAAACTCAAACTGGAAGTGGGAGAATGAGTTCACTGATAATACTCATGCACATTTCATTACCCTTTTTGACCCCTGGTCACTGGCAAAATGTAAAACCTATGATTAAAAATAAATATTTTTTTAATATGAAAAAAGTCATTACTGATAAAAACTGAAGCAGATGCATTAGCTTCCACTAATAAGTTCTCACTTTTTCATAGCGCTGTAGTGTTGTTTAAAGAATACAGAAATAAAACTCCTATTTCTCTGTGTCTTCTATGGTAGTACATCAGGTTAATTACAAATAGCTATTTTAAACAATGCTCTGAACTTGTGTTGCTAGTCTTACTGAGGAGTGAGATACTGTATTTCTAGGAATTCTATTTCAGGATGTTTCAAAGCAAATGCCAAATTATTACATTTTACTCTATTCTAGTTAGAAATTCATATAACATTTCAATGATGTGTAAATATTTATAATTAATTTCCATTTTCTGTTATGTAGCATGTGTAATGCCTAATGTGGATTTATGATTTTGACAGTTTTACAGATATTAACCACAGTGCTTTCCTTTTGTGAATTTCAGTAGAATTGCAGTATTATGCACAATTTTCAGGAGCATTAACTTTTTCAGGTTGCTCAGACTCACGGGAAAAAATTTGCTTGCTTATCCTATAAAATATAATGGCCTTTTCAGTGAGAAAAGATCTTATGTCCAGATGCTTAATAATTTATATCTGTTTTTTAAACTACTGATAAAGTGCAGCCTGTGGGGGCAGAGAAATTGCATTACTTAAAATCTGCACTTCAAGAGAATTTGAAGTTGTACAAATGGACTTTAAGTTTGATAGGAAAGTTGATTGGAGATCGTACATTGTGAATACATTAGGTTTATAAAGACAAAACATGCATGAAGGGCAATTACTGCTAGTGTTGCTATATTAGTATGAATGTTAATAGCATGTTTGTTTTTGAAATGGGTTATGCATTCTGGTAAATGTCTGCTTGAATCTAGTCATCTGTGTATCACTTGTCTAAGTACTCTCATTTAAGATGCCATATCCCTTCTTGTAGCAATAAAGGGGTAAAGCAACATTAATATTAAATAATTAGAAAAACAAAAGGGGAATGATTAAACATATTTACATAATTGAAATAACACTGAGTCGCAGTGGGAAATCGGGACAATGTTGTCTCCTTTCAAAGTAATTCATAATTCAGATTTTTAATTATGGCATATTCATTCATTTAAAGATGATTCTGGATGAGAGGGCCACTAATGAAATACAATCATTAGCATCTAAACAAAGTAATTTAGAAAGTCTCCTTTCGGGGAAAAGATTTCTAGAACATCATCAATCACACAAGATATGCAAAAACAAGCAATTAAACCACACACAAGAACTACAACAACCTTATATATTAGTAATGTACACATGAAAACATAACTGATTACAATGATTAGAGTAGGGTAGTGTGGTTAATTTGTATGTTATGTAGTAATTTCATGGAAGAATGTACCAGGACAGACACATCTCACAAAAAATGAATGCCATACCATTGATATATATTTCAAATATATTAATGTCATTGTAGTCAGTGCCAAGTTATCAATAAAAATCCAGTGATGAAAATCTAGAATCATGTTCTTCCAAGATGTGTAACACCCTGACTATGAACCCTGGACTATAGTTTTGGTTTGGGGGTTTATTCTGTTTATTTATTTTTTCCTATTTGTATTGTATTTGATTTCATCGAATTGACGAAATACAGGCTTAGGAAGCTATTTCATGAGAAGCAGGTGCTGCATTAGTTTCTCATTAACTACTCAAATCCTGCTCTGGGTTACAGCAACAAGGAGTTCATAGACATAAACGGGTCAGTGATTTACAGGGTCTTTCTATATACACAATTACAATTCATTAAACATGTGTGGTAGCATTAAATGGATGGAGTAATTCTGCACCATTTTAATGTCTGTCTGCAGAGTCCTGTTAAAGCAACACAAAAAGGCTGGCTTTAAACACCTTCTTCTTTGAGATAAATTATAACTTGGTTGTAAAGCCATACTATTTTTGCCTCTCATGTAAAGCAAAGGCAGAAACAGCGGTGTGTGTGTGTGTGCGTGTGTGAGGAGCATCCTGCCGTGGTGAGGCGGGAGCGGCTGGTGTAGCTGTGCTGCCTTTGATAACCACCAGGCTTAGAAGCCAAAATATGTTCTATTGGGTACTCAAAGGATAAAAATACTGGTTAATTTTCAACAGTGCTCCTTCATTTGACTTTACAATTTATAGCAGTGAACATTAATGCAAGAATAGCTTGGTTGAGGAGGAGTTTAAAATTAGAGCACCTCTTCTCATTAGCCCCAGCAGCCTGACCCAGGGTGAACTGAGAAGTAATTTGCTGCCAGATCCTCATTTTGCTTCTGTTATCACTCCTTGTAAATGAAGCGCAGCAATTTATTGTAGCACCTCAAGGAGTCAAGAACATAATGTGTAAAACACATACAAAAAAAATCTTTCTTCACATTCATTAACACCCAGCACATAGAGGCTGTTCACTTTTCACTCTAATGAAGGAGGGGGATCTTAAATATAAAGCTTTCCAGGCTGTGAAGAAGGCCTCTTCAGGTCATTAGACAGAAGCTGAGTTGGACAGAAGAAAGGTCATTGACAAAAAAAGGAGAATGGCAATATGATGAAAAATAGAAAATGGATAAAAGAAGAGACTTTAGAAAGCTCAGAGAATGGAAAGTACATTTTTGGCACCAGTGATCAACCTTTCTTGTCTCTATGTTCATTTTCTGTTGTCAGTGAAGAAAATAGTATCTGGCTTTTTATTTAACTGAGAATTGCTCTTGTGTTTGGTCAATTCTCATTTCATCATCCTTGATCTGACCTTGCAGAAAGCATTAATAGGTCTATTTTTAAGGGACCTTTGTCTGCTGGCTATAAATTCAGCCCTTCATTTTGCTCTTTTTTATTAAAAACGTGCAGTTTACCAGATTTTAATGTATTCTGATTATGTAACTGACACTTTCCCCTTAGGGAGATTATTTGTCTCACTAGTCCTGATTAACACTTTGAGTTTATAGCTGTATATTAACACCACATTCAGGAATATTAGGAAACTCCTATATGCAAATTAATTTATATTGGTAATAGAAACAGAGGAGCTTAAAGAGGATCTGGGAGCACTCCTTGAACATGTGCTGAATGCAGAACATGTGTACTTAGGGGTGGAAGGTACCTAAGCCAAGAGGCATAGAAACTCACGGAAAATACCCTTTTGTTATTTACCAGTGTCAAGTGACAGAAAGGTTGAATTCTGCAGTTCTGTAGATGTCACCAATGAGTGATTTTTTTTTTTTCACAAATGCATTTAACTTGCAGTGATTTAACTAGCTTTTGACATGTATATTTATTTGGGAATAAAGATAAAACAAAGTAGGAGGTTTTTTTGTGTGTTACCACTTTTGTCGTTATGGACAAGTAAATATTCTTTCTCTGGTAATATATTTTCTTATGTTTGCCCACATCCCGTTGCTGGATCTTTGCTTGTACACGGTAATCTTATAAATTGGAGTGTATATATTTTACAGTAAATGATTTCCCATTTAGTTAACAGCATGAGACCATTATCTTGTGACAAAACTCTGTTCTAGTGAAGACTCTTCATTAAATAAGTAATCACCCTTTACATACAATGGAATTAGTATATAAATATACCATGTTAAAAAGCCAACATTTGACAACAACATGTCCTACATCAAATTATGCCTTATTCTTCTAATCCTTCTGGAAACTGGTCTGCAGTTATAACCAAAAACCTCTGATAGAAATCAGCAGTCAACATATTCAGCATATCAAAAAGAAATTAGAGATTATTTTGGAATTCCATGAGGGTTTGGTTTTACTTTCCTCTACAAAACACCCTTATGAATTATATATGTAAATAATGCTCCAGACCACTTTTCTTTGCTGCTAACAGGAACAGCAGGTTGCCCAAAACTTCATCACTGTAATCCCAGTTCTGTCAGCTCTGTTGTTCAGCTGCTCTCTTGGTATTAAGTTATGGTATTCTTTTTAACCCAAACACCTTGGCAGGTAGAAGTTAAGGAATGGTTAGATGAATGGTCAGAAAGGAAGATCATCTGCACTGTCAGCACAGAAAACCATATTGGAAAAAGGCAGACTTCTACCCCCAGTCCATTCATTAGCAGTTAAAACAATTTGTCTACTTGTTTAAGTCATTGGTTTCACCTTGCTGCTCATTATCAAGCAGAATATAACTAAAGGGAGCAGAGCTGGGGTCTTCCAAAAGCCTTGCATGTTGAGTAGATTTAAATAGCCAGATGTAGCTCATACTGCTTCTCCTGAGCCCATGTTCATTTCCACACAATTGTTCATTGACAGGGACAGCCTGACATCAGCCTGGCAAAGGCTTTCAGCAAAGTTATGCTCATGCACAAGTATTTTGGTGTGTCAAACAAAGTACTCCTGAGCTACCATTTGTTTTCTTCTTTGACAATATTTACCATGCATTTTCCAGACAGTCCTGGAATTGTTACTGGAATTACGGTTTTCTATGGAAAGTCTTCTACATCCCTCTGGTTCTTTGGGACTCAGCTGAGCCCTTTTGTTGAATTCAAAGTGCATCCTGGAGCACTGGAGGACAGAGCTCAGCTGGCTGGAGGAAAGAAAGCGGACATTATTGTGTTGTACCTTAATGTCCAGGATAGCCAGCTGTAATTGGGAAACTGCTGCTGTTCAAACTGCTCTTTATATAGCTCTGGATCTTTAAGTCACATTCTCTAGGAAGAAAATGGTAACACAACAGCAGCAATACTGATACCTGTTCAGGGGTGCAATAGTACATTTACAAGACATACAACACATACATTTACAATGGCATTGTATTACAGACAAACCCAGGGATTTGTAGAGCAAATATGAAGCTGGGGTATTTGGTGAAATACACACCTATTCAGTCCCTCATGCTGGCTAGCTAACATTTGGCCAGAAAAAACCTGGGTCTTCCCTCCACGACTGGAGGTCCTGTTTACTCCACGGTACCTCTGGGATAGAGTCACATTACACCCTCTTGCCAGGAGCCAGGAGGCATCACAAATGGATCTTTCACTCTGAAGGAAAGGGCTCCTGCCTGATGTTGTGAACACCATGGCAAGTCTAAGTTATTGAAAGACTTTCTAAACTGAAAAAAAACTCTTTTTCCTCTCCCTCCTAAAAGGTAAAAAAGTGAATTGTCATTAAATCATTTGAGTTTTCAAAAATACTCCATGAACAATATAGTCTGTGACAACTTTAGAAGAATGTAATATTTATTCATAACTCAGGCAAGAGTGCAGCATTCTTTTATCTGATATCCAAACATTTTATTTCCTTCAACAACATCCTACTTTTCTAAAGGGTAAGACATCTCATGTGAGTTGTACCTAAGATATACACCTCATTTCTATAGGTACAAGTGTATTATTGAAGCTCAGACAATAATTAACAATGTTGAATCAGGAACATCAATATCTCACAAAATATTCACTTATTAATAGTACTTTAAAACCAAGGAAACAAGATGTTTGAGAAAGGAGGGACTGACTAATTTCAAGGTCCTGAACAATTTGTTCAACAGGTATCCAAATGAAAAAAATTTTCATTTTTTGGAAAATATTTTGAAAATGTCTCTAAATTTCACTTCTGGAATTCCTTGATGATGTTCTGGTCTTTCCTTTCCTGTCCACTTACTTGAAGTTGATGAAGAAAAAGGGGAAAAAGGGGAAATATAAAAAGACAACATTTCCAAAGCGCAATGTTTATTTTTTTTCTTACAAGAGGTTTGGTCTTTTTAAGGTTCAAAATACTTGTTAATGAAAACTGCCATTGAAGTTCTAGAGACAGATTTTTCTCTTATTATCAGTGTAAAAACAATTATTTTGACAGTTGTGTATTCTAGCCATGTGTATTGTATGTACATCAAAGACATATGTATACACTTGCTTTCATTTTCTTGAACAATCCTTTCTAAACCTTGCCTCCATTCAAACCTCCTCTTTCTCCACTCTTTTTTTCATTCAGTTCTGTTCTTCTATATTTTTAACTCACCTTGAGGTTTAAAATAGTGAAGGCTGTCTTCTGTTTATTACCGGAGGGTAGAATACAAAGAGCTTTTATGTTGATTGTCACTCGGCGTGGTGGGGAAGGAAGAACGAACTGGGAGAGGTGAGCAAACCAAGGCGCAGAACGGGGAAATGGTCCTGCTCTTGCCCTCTGTAATTCGCAGACTATTCTAGACACTAAAATTGTGACAGCTTGATCTTGTGATAAAGATGTTAACAAGAAGAGAAAATGACATTAATTTAATCTATTCTTGCAGGTCATGCTGAAATGAGACTGTGATGATACAAAATTATAATAATAAATATGGAAGTAATTTCACAATTCTTTACAGATACTATTCACAATCCTTTCACATGCAAATGTCCTGTCCCGTCCTTCACAACAGTGATTTTTGGTGCCATCCAAGGCTCTAATTCAACATCTTCTAATAGTTGATTCCATAATTACTTTATATGGCAAGAACAATGTAAAATAGTATTCCAGATTAAGATCTCAAGATGGCTTTACTTTTATGTTATTATTTCCCCTGGGCCTTCCCCTCAGGACATTTCTGATTTAGACATTTTTCACGTTTTCAGAAGCAAATTAGGCCATCAGTATTCTCAGCTTACAGTACATTAATAGCCAAACAGCGTGCAAAACAAAAAGTGTTGTAAAATAAAATATCTAAAGATATTTTTGAATGAAGTCATGATTTAATTTGCTGCTATTTTCAGGAGCTAGACTAACCTGACACATTAATTCCCAAATCCTGTAAAGTTTGTGGGCAAATAATTATTTAAATGTAAAACAGGTTTTGTATTTAAAAATTCACCATCTTTAGAAGTTCCTCATTCAGTTGATGAAATATCAAAAATACAAATAAATACTCTTCCAAGGAGCAATTAAAACAGAAAAAATTCTGATCTAAAATTTTAATTCTACTCTAATTCTAAAAATGAGGCTGCATCATCACAGTGTCTCCCTTTTTTCCAGATTCTCTAGCTTCTCTTAGAATGGTTTTTACTAAGCAGTATGTGTGATTTACACTGGGAATGGCATAACCTTTACTGAACAAAAGGTGCTGAGAAGCACCTGCCAGGCAGGAGTGTTACTTTGCTGGGCAATAAGCCCTCATAGGGTAGCTTCAGCAGCAGCATCCCCAGCACATTTTGTTGAGTTTGCACCTTCTGTATAATCTGCTAGGTACAGAGGGTGGAGCTCAGCCTCTGCATTCTGCTTAATAGCCTCAATTACAGGTGGAAAAGCATACAGTATGTAAATCAGTACACACTAGATGCGATATAATTGCAAGGTCAGTGTGGACAATGTTTTGCTGAAGTGCTGCTATAAGTGAATAATTTCAATGATGAAAGTGTATTTTTTCATATTTGAGAGCTAATGTACTGAACTGGTCTTTCAGAAACATTGCTTCAATTGCACTGTAATGTTAGACTGCAGAAAAATAGTAACAGCCAGATATCCCCCAACTTCAGCATGAAGCACCTATCTTAGCAGGTAATGTGGCACGTGGCTACCCATAATTGTAGTAGGATTTGAAATACAGAGCATTTAGGATGGGGAGTCATAGGAGAGGACACTGGAGAGATCTGATAGTTGTAAGCAAAGATACAAGGGAGTAGTGTCTGTTCACTCAGGACACTGGAAGCACAGCAGAAGAGCACTGAAGCACAGGCTGCTGGTGGGCACTGGCTTGTATCTGTCCTTCAAGAGCAAAGTCTCAGGATGCTATATCCATTTTGGAAAGATAATTGTGCTTTCCTTCTCTAACTATGCTTTGTTAATTTAAACAATTTAATTGGTTTCAACTAATAATATAGGTAATATGCAATCCATTCAATTTAGCTTTCAGCTATTATCAGGATTTATTTCAGCTTACAACTTCCACTGACTTATCAATTAAGATCTCACCTGATGTATTAAAACAGATATTATCAAGATATTGAATTTAAAATGCTTTTAAACAATTTTTACAGGAGAGTTGCAGAAAGATCCCCCACTCTCCTTTGAAGCATCAATTATTCCCATAAAACAATTAAGCATCAATTTATTCCTCCATGTAGGTGTAAAGTAGATGATTCAGTGAACAGTTGCTTACAGACACAAATGCAGAAGCGCTGATGATTTCTCTTGTGAGAGGAATACATACGAAGAACCATAGCAGTCAAGATAGAAAATGAAAATCTGGAAGAATCATAACAAAGGGATAAACAAAGAACATCAACTGTATATAATTAAGCTTGTGATCATGTGTAATATTTGAAAGCAACACATCTTACTATCTGCCCCATCTTCTTTATCATTGTGATTTGTGATGTGAAGACTCTATTTAAATTAATTTACTCTATTTTCACAGTTCTGATTAATAAAGATTTGTTGAATGAAGCCAATTACTACCCAATAATTTTTGCTGAACAGCAAAGTTACTTTTCCTTAATTTTTCTGTTCCACATACATTATTTCCTGTTTCACATAGATAATTTCTGCTTTATTATGAAATTCAAGAAAGTAAGTATCTGGTTAAAAAGGATGTTTATTGGCAAGGGCCTAATTTAGAACACGTAAGTACCATTATACATTATTACTCTCACAGTGCAAAAGACTTGAGTTAGCCTTTCAAGTAACACCATTTGTAACTAGATGGAAAAGGTCAGAAAAAACACAACTTATTTTTCTATTCAAATGAGTGGTATCAGGGACCATTCCTGGAGAGAAGCAGCAAATGTGACTCAGATGGTTACATTTCTTCCTCTTACTCCTCCCCATTTTCTTTTTGTTTTAGTGTAATGACTTTAGCTTATGTTTAACTGGCTAGGAGGACAGCAGAGAACCAAGCACTGTAGGAAGCTCTATCAGACATGTTACGTACACTGTGATGAAATAAGTGAATTAAATATCATAAAAGTAAAAAAATTAGGTTCAGTTATAAAAAGTCTGTGGAAAGTTTCTGCTTTTACAGGAAAAGGTGAGGAGGGATTGTTTATTTTTTAGTTTTATTCCTCTTTTTAAAGTAAAGCTCATTGGTTTTCATATAAGACCAACATTTTTTAATTTTGAAGAACCCTTTAATCAAAAGAGAAAAATGTGCATAATGAATCGCCATCATTTTCGGATTAGCTTCCTTTCTGTTTCAACTGTTTGGTCAAGAATAAGTATATTATGCACTGTGATTACAAACACAAACAGTGACACTGAAAAAAGAAAAAGCTAATTGAGCAAGATAGATTTTACACTATGGCCCATACACAGAAACCCCTGGAAAACATCTTGCTGCCATCAATATTCCCCTCTGCATGACAGCAAGACTCTTCCCAGCTCAGGGAAGGAAGTGCTCATTCATAAACCCATGCATTGTATTTTGTGCTATTGATATATAAGTGGCAATCATTTATGCAAAATAAAATTGATTTTCATGATCTTTTATACGTAATGGGAATCACTGGAAGACAAAGGGACACAGCTAGAGTCACCACAAGTCCTATGGTGACCATTGAGTAAGAAATATTTTGAAATAGCCACTTGCAGGCTATTACTGCATTTCAAAGAGGAAACATCTAAGAGCTCATTTTAGGAGTCAATTTGGAAGAACAAATGTCAAAAGATGTCTATTCCCTTGCTGATACCAGCCTTCTCCAGACAGGAGGAATGAGCTTCTAAAATGACAGTATTATAACAACAGCAAAACACATTTTCCATATAAACAAAATAAATGTAATCAAACAGTGGAATTAGCACACTAAGAGGATTTCCATGAGCAGAAGGATTCTATGTACAATATAATCAAATTGACAACATTGTTTCATCTAGTTCTACTTCTATTAATTTCCTGGAAATTTCCCAAAGAGGAATATCCAAGTACCAGGAGAAAGACATACCTCTTTTATAAAAAAAAACTTTCCTTGTGAACATTTAATTTACTGGTATCACTGAGTGACAGTGAGGAATAGCTGCTAGTGAAGAAAAGTTGATTCTGTTGTCCTTGTCCATCAGCTTTTATCTTCTTCAAGTTCAGTGATCCTGTTTGGGGCCAGGGAATCTATTCATGTTCAATTAGGCCCAGCCCAGACTCGGGAAAAGAACCAATTCTTGCAGGCAGGGCAGGCAGCCAGTTGTGGTGGGGAGGGCAGAAACAGATATTGGAAAATGAGACAAAAAACATCTGTTTGCACAGGGTGGGCAGGCGCGTGCACTGCCTGCAGGATGACAGCTACCCGCATCTGCATGGTAATTGTAAATGGAACCTGCAGTTCAGCAAGTTGATTAAGTTAACTTTTTGCTGGAAATATTGTTCTTGGTCATTAATCGTGATCTTACTTCTTGTCCGGATTTTTTTTTTCTTTTCTGTGAGAACTTAATCAAGCTTAAAGAATAGCCATTCCAACTATGCAGCTGCTTTTTCTTTATCTTGCTATATATTCACAGACTGGTCTTTACAATGCCCACTACAAAGGGGATAGTAGGAGACAATACATTTAACCTGACGTTCTGATAAAAGATGCCACTGGAAAAAAAAAATAAATCTTTGAAATGGAAGCTGATGAGGCAAAAATGGACAGTCTAAATAACATTGCTCCAAATGGTAGAGGTGGACAAACGATGCTAGAGTACATTATTCCACTCCACTGGATGAAGTGACTTTCAAGGACTGATTAGCTCCATGTCTGAGAGGGTTAGCCCCCTGCCTGTTATAACAAGTGCCTATGAAAGGGAGAGCTGATCCGACAACTGGCTATGCCAACCGTGAAGTTATTTCAATACTTTCTCTTCTAACATATTGATTAATCCCATCATCATTTTGAAGCCCTGTTTTATTATTATTATAATAAATAATAAATATAAATAAGAATAAAAAAATAAACAAATAATTTATTATTATTTAATATTTAAATAATTTTCTAATAAAGAGAAGTTAGGAGGTGTAAAACTTTGACTTCTTCTCAATGAGGCTGTTAGCCCCTCTGCAGATTTTACCATTTCTGGCTCTCTGCAAGCTGTGTGTGCTGAAGATGATGCTTTTTCATGACTGAAAAGCTTTATTTTTACAATGGAGCTTAAATATCCTAGTGACAAAGACACATCATGAATCTTCTGCACTGAAGATGTACCAATTTTACTGTAAACACCAATGTTAAATGCCTCCATTATTTCTATCCCTTCTCCTCATTTTTGCCCTTGCTACGACTATTAAGCCTAATGAGATACAAACAAACGACTGCTGCCTTTGGGATCACATGACAAATACACCACAATACACAAGGGAAAGTGCCAAAATAACATCTTACATTTTCAGTATCACCTAATTGTTTGGATCATTTAAGAGATTGTAAACAGCCAGTAAGGAAGAAAAAGATTAGCTAGTGGAAGTTCTCACTTATGCCCTTGGAAATGCAAAGATTTGGAAAACACAGAGCCTAACATTCAGTAGAATTGCAATAATACTAAATATATCACAAGCATTTCAGTTTTGTAGAGCAGTTCCTATAATGACATGTTAAAAAGCATCCTGAAAATGCAGAGTTATCAGGCTACACAAGGGGTGGGGAGCAGCTCAAACCTTCTGTTTCTTCTGAGACTTTCCTATCTGTGGGAAGGTTTAGGGAATCAGGTCTATAGATTCCCTGATCTGGGGATGTAAGAATGGAAAGAAATAAGGGCTCTTCAGCCCAGTGCTTGGGATGTCCTCTGGCTAAAGATGGGCTTCCTCATTTTATCCCTCGGTTAAGCAGTACTTGCTGCTGAAGTTTTTTTTGCAGTAACACTTGTAAATAAGAAAGCTGCAACTCCTTTGCTTTTCACAGTGAATCAGGGCCTGCATCATACAGCAGGTGACAGAGCTGGATTTGTATTGGGAATATAAGAGTTTCAACATTTGTAAGAGAGATTGAAATGCACACATTTTTGACCAACATAGTGTATAGTTTTGTGAAAATTGTTTCATCTATTTAGAACATTTCAATTTTTTTCTTTCCAATTTTTTATGATAGAGGTATCACTAATGCAAAGTAAAACTCTTTATTTATTTGTATAAAACAAGTGAATAACACTGAATACCGAAATAGTAGAACACACTTAAAAATGTTTCTGATAAATTAAAATTACTCTTCAAATGTGGCTTTTTTTTTCCTTCCCCCACAGAACTCTGTGTGTAGGGTATTTTTAAGGTATTTGATTAGTTAAGCGAGATATTATTTACCTGGGACTAATAAAATTTTTATGGTATGATTGTAGAGACATTCCATTAAAGGCTATTTTGCATTTTTAAGATCTTATATTCTGAACTAGGCTATTTTGGGGCATTAACATACCTAATAAAATATATTTTTTATTTTTTAAAAAATTTATTTCAAGCGTGTTACATTTATCCTATCTTGCACTTCTTAAACTAGAGGAAAGAAGCACTATCACAGTAATAGCCATGACTAGGAAAGAAGAAAAAAAGAGCTGAAAGTTCTAATCAAAACTGTAATCAGAAAGATGACAAATGGTGAAGACTATTAAATTTTCTTTGCTCCCTTGATGAATTTAATAAAGAACTAATCAAAGATCATTAGAGGGCTTTTGTGCTTGGTGTGCATTGTAACTGGATTGCAATTGGAATTTATGTTTTAGTGGTTATCTATGGTTGAATTGGACTTTTAAACACAAAAAGAGCTATTTTTAGCATTTTTCTTTGAAAATATTTATTTTAAAATGTCAAATCATTGTATGTTGCTTCTATGCCTTACATGGTAAAACACAGCCTATTTCATTGTGGTTAGAAATTTTAAAATTGATATCAGTATCAGTGTTTAGTTTGAATTTTCTAATGATCTTCCTTTTAATTTTGCAAGAAAATCAGGAAAGAGACATTTACTTCCCAGGCAGTTATGTGAGTAATCCGATTGTTAGGACTATTGACAACCTTCAGAATTACATAACAGTATGGAAATTCACCTTTTGCAAATCTTCATGTTTAAGGGAGTGAAAGTGTGCTTCTTTGATCTTATTTTCATATTCCCTGTTTGGCACTGGAATAATACTACTTAATAGATGCAGCAACAGAAGATGTAGTCTAAGCTGTCTATTTTTTTTCCTTCTGAGTTTTAAAATCTGATGTTTCAGGTTGAATGATGAAAGAGAGATCGTACTTTCCTTTGGGTGAAATATAATCATGAGGATGGTTGAATAATACTGGAAGCATGTGTACACTTGGCATACTTAATTTGCAGATGGTGACAGTAATGACATGAAAAAAAAAATCAAGCTCTTTTTAAAGTAACTCTTTGGAGGGTGCAGTTAGCTGGCCATTTATAGCCAACTGTTTGGTTATGACAGGGTAGTGAAGCTGACTTCATGACTTTCATTTCTACTCACCCTTTGTCACCTGGGCAGTTCCTGCCTCATTAACTGGAAAGGGCTTAACACAGTAGCCTTACAGTACCTCAACATCTGATCTATTTGTCTGTCACAGAACAGTTTTGCTCTTACTATTGAAGTGGTATTTAGGGAGATTTCTTGTAGTAATGTGAAAATATTACATTAATGAAATAATTAAGAACTGTGAAGCAGGTGCTGTAGAATAGTGGTGGGATCTAAACAGGCCTAATACAACCCTTCAATATTTTTGTGGGAATAACATAGATATTGTGATGGACACATGAAAATATAGTATGGTACTTTGGCAAGGAATACCAGAAGGCTAAAATGAAAGAGAGAATCATGTTCACTCATGGAATCTACCTCACACCTAGGCACTATCACCACTTTATAAATCCTTGTTCTTATTACTAAACGGAATGCTACAGCTTCAGTTTTCGGGTCGTGTTTGGAGTTTTTTTGGTTGACTGGTTGGTTGGTTGGGTTTTGAGTTAGGACTGTAAAATACCCCTATGTGAAACGGAGTGAGGAGCCAATTCAGTTTTGATTCAGCCATTTTAGTTTGCCTCAGCCCTGGCTGTCAGAGACACGAGGGAGGAGGGCGTGTACACCTGCCACTGCAGGGACAGCCAGGAGCGGGGAAGCCTCGCCTCTGGGGAGACTTTTCCGGCCTACGCCTCACCTGAGGCTCTCGGTAGGAGACACCGTGGAGGGGCTTCTCCAGACTGCTCGTGAAAAGGTCTCCACCCATGGGCGGCAAACTAAGTTTGGACCGCACCAATGGTCTCCTGTCCCCAGGCTGACTTTGGGAGGGGCGGGGTGGGTATAAAAATTAACTGCAACACTGCTCAGCGCCGCTGCTCTTTGGCTGCCTGGCTTCCTCCTTTGCCCTGGCCCCAGTCTGCCTTCTATCTCTGCCCTCGCTGGTTCCTGCTTGTCCTGCCTCCCTGTGGCACCGACGGCCGCCCTGCCACTTGGCCCCCGAGTTCTTGGCCGGGCTGCCCGTATTCGGACCAGCCGATCGGAGCGACCCTCGCCGCGAGTATGTCCAGGGTGCCGGGCCTCCCCTCCGAGCGCCCACTCACCGCGGGTCCGGCGGGAGCCGCGCCCGTCCGAGACAGCGCCGGCCCGTTCGGCCCTGCCCGCGCACGGGCAGCAGCGCGCGCACCCCGGGCCTGCGCGCCCACAGCACTCCCCGGCCCGCGGGGCAAACGGCCTCCCTTCCCCCTGTCCTCCCTGTCTATTCTCTTCCCCTGTCCTTTAACATTTTCCTTCCTCCTTTCCTGTCTCCTTGAGCCCTCTTTCGTCCGGGCAACTCCTTTTTCTTCTCGTTTTCGTTGCCAATAAACGGTTCTTAGATACAACGTTCGCCTCTTTCGGTTTAATTTCGTTCCCTACCATCCATCCATTGTTAGAATAACTTACCGCTGTTCTCCACACTGGAACGCGACAAACAGTAATTTAAAATAAAAAACAAAAACCCAAGACATCCGTTTGCTATGCAAAAAAACCCCCAAAACAACAAAACAAACAAACAAACAAACCAAATAAAAAGGAAAAAAACCAAGAAGAAAATAAGGCTACTTTAAGTCTTACGCTTACATTGAAAGGCATAGGAGAATAGGAGACTCGCATAGCAATGAAGTGCATGAGAATGTTAACGTATAGATTTTGACATGATTGTAATAATTTTGGAGTCATATTCAGTGAGAAATATAAATACAGAAACAGATCAGCTGTTCAGGTGCTCAGAAAGAAACCACGTTATCCTCCAACTTCTAATACAAATGAATCTATAGCCTATTGTTTGAATGTGCAGTGTTGCACATTAACACATAGGCTTTTCAATAGAAAAAATGTTCAAGGAAAATTAGATATCAGTCTCCAAAATACGTGCATGATAGTTTCAGGAATAACTCTGTCTAGGACTAGTAAGATGTGAAATCAGCATCAGACATAAAGTTAGCTTTGGCTTGCTTCCATATTTTTGAGAAATTGAAAGTGAGACAAAGCTTGGCCTCTGTCAATTAGCATGGGATGTAAATTACTACCTGTGTAATGAACAGGTCAATAATTTCAAAGCTAATGTAACTCAACCACATCATCAAATCTACAGACATTGGAAAATGTCAGATAATGGTGAAATCCTAGCAGAAACACCTTCAGCCTTCAATCTGCATAAACTGTAATTGTCTGTCAAACAATAAATCATTTCAGTCTTTCTAACAGTGAAAGAGCAGATTTACAAGAATTACAGACTTACCTTTTTTGTATGTGAAAGACTGCTCAAGGGCAGGGCAGCCTCCGGCCCTTCAGGCAGAGATGCAAAAACGCTTGTGCCCATTCTGGCTCCTCTGTCTCCCACTGGGAGTAATGCACACCACTGCATTACTGGGAGTAATGCAGGGCACAGACCACAGAGTGCCCTGTACCGAAAGCACGGCTTGAAATCCTTGGAATGGGC